CAGCCGTAGGCGCCGCTGTGCTCGGGCCGCGCGCCGGTCACCAGCAGCCCGTCCACGCCCACGCGGTAGCCATCCCGCCCGTCGCTCAGGCTCACGCTTCCGTTGAGCAGCCACACGGCCCGGGCCAGGTTGGACGGCTGGTCACAAGGCAGGAGGACGTCGTCGCCCCGGAGTACGGAGCGGGTCTTAAGCGGTGGTGGCGGCCCTGCTGGGGAGGTTGAGGTCGGTGCCCGCGCACCTTGCAGGCGCTGGAGACGCGGGCCAGACGCTGCACCGCGAGTCCTGGCGCGAAGCGCAGAGTCTGGACCCTCTGGGGCGCCGGCAGGCCCTGCCCGCGTGTCCATGGGAAGCTCACCTGGCCCTTGCAGGACGTGGGCGGTGCGCAGGCCCACGGCCAGGCTCTCCAGCTCTCATTCCGCCCCCGTGGCCTCCGCTCCCACCGCCTGCCGTGCGTCCCGTCCACCCCAGCACAAGCCTCTCGACCCTGTGCCAGGCCTCCAGGGAGGCCGAGCCTCTCTCCCAGGCCACGCCAGGCCCTCTCTTCGCATGCCACCGCTGCACACAGCTGGCCAGGGACTCCGCTGCTCAGGCCAGGGACCCCGAGGCTCCCTCGCCTCTCCTTCTCACCTTTGTGTCCAGCCATCACTGAGACTCTTTCCAGAATGATCTCAGACCTGCTGGCTTCTCTCCTTTGTGACTGCAGCCCTCCGGCCCCATTTAGTCCCACCCCATGGGCAGCGTTTTAAAAACAAGTCTGATCAGGCCATGTCCTGCCTGAAGCTCTTCAGAGGTCCCCCTGCTTTTCAGATGACCAGACTCCCCAGCCCGATCCCGCCTGCCTGGCCTCCTGCTCTCCCCCTGCTCAGCATGCCTGGCCCCCTCTGACTGCTCCCCGTGGGAGAGGGCCCGCCCAAGATCCACAGCACACACGCAGGCGGCTGGGGGTCGGGCCCACGTTCTGACCCTGCTGCCCACAGCTGGGAGAGTCCAAGCGGTTCGCTTCCACCCCGGGCTTCGGAGAGGGCATCCCTCCTGGGGAACCACTGACGGCCTTCTCAGAGGACTGCCATGGGATAGTGGTGTCGAGCACAGCCGTGCTCAGGTCCGGGTCCGGCACACAGGGGTGCTCAGCACTCCTTGGCTGTGGCAACCGACCTGGCCCCTCCTTCCGCGGTCAGCCCACCTCAGAGAACCGCCCAGCACCCCTGGCCTTGTCATCCTGGTCATTGTGAACAGCTGTGATGAGTCACTTGGGTGGCCATTTGGCCGCCCACCCTCGCCCCTGTCACCACCCCCCCTTGGCTGTGAGCTCCCGAAGGGACGAGACACTTCCCGTCCAGCATGCGTTTCCTTATTTCTAATCCGTGGAGGAGTAGATATTTGCCGAGAGCTTACTCTGTGCCGGCTTTATGTGGGGTCGCCCCACCCACAGCGCTGGGACACAGCCCTCATGCCAACACACACACTCCATGACAGCGTACGGGAAGAGGACAGCTGCGAGTGTCCCTTACCCGTGTCCCCGTTGCCCTCACAGCCTCGGTTTCCTCTCTCTATGTCCTGCACCAGGCCTGTCCTGGGGACGAGATTGGGGTGAATGAGTGAGGTGCACTGGGCTTCCGTTTCCCAGCAAAAGGGTCGGCAG